TTAGACTGAATTCAATCATATCGTTTGATGAAAGAGCTGGTACTCTGAAAACTATTTGCTACATTTCGTTTGTGTGGTTTGATGAGAAAATACGGTGGAATACTTCCGTTCACGACATTGAAAACATTTATTTACCCCTATCTACAGTGTGGATACCACGCATTAGTCTTCAGAATTCAGCTACGGAGCACATGAACATTAACACAGGAGACACTCAAGATAAGCAAGTTGTATATTACCCTTCTGGATCTGCAGCCTTTGCATTTGTTGGTCTTGCCACGACAAAATGCGATGCTGTTATGTTGTACTTCCCTTTCGACAGACATAGCTGTGAATTGAACTTTATAAGTATGGAACCCATACATCGAGTATTGATGGTTGTACATGATCTTCCACACAAAGTACCCTCATATGAGAACAAGGAATGGAAGATTCTAAGTATTAAGAAAAAGCATTCAATCTACCATGTCGCCAGAAACCACAGTATGATCTCCTTCAGCATACAGTTTGAGAGAAGACCAGCGTTTTATATCCTGAACATTTTGTCACCCCTACCTTGTCTTGGCCTCACAAATGTTCTCGTATTCGCTTTACCCATTTCTTCGGGAGAACGAGTGTCTTTCTCAGTAACAATTTTGCTGACGTTGGTTTTCTTTCTGAACATGATAGCTGATCGCTTACCCCCTACTAGTGAACCTATCAGTCTGTTCAATGTGATGGTTATGGTGCAATTGCAAAATAGTGTGTTCATAGTCATTTGTACAATATTATCCATGATGACTTACGAAAAAGCGCAGAAAAATGCAGATGTTCCCAGAATGTTGTGCAAAATTGTTGTATTTTTGCAAAATACAAACAAAACTAGAGGTATGTCATCGGAGCAGGAGGATGTATCTGCGATTCCAGCTAAAACAGATGAATTGAAGACTGCTCAAAAAACATCAGACTCTTCATCGCAAATTACATGGAATGAAGTTTCAGATTGCACTGAGAGATCTTTTTCCAAATTATTTTCTTGTATGTTCATTGTAGAATGGATTATTTTTCTTACAATGATGATAGTTGGAACAGATTAATAAAAATTTCGAAACCGAACCATGGCTTGAGACGATGACCATTGCGCCAATCCACACATTTGGAATAGATTCGTATTAGTAAACTATAATTTACATTCATTAATCATAGTTGATTTGTTAATCACAGTTTCATAAATCGTGAAACTTTATTTATCAGATAAACTTTATTTTACATTCGTTAATTAAAGACAACAATGATATCAGAATTTGTAGATTTAAGAAATTACGAAAAAAGGCAGAGACTGGTGTAAAAAATTATGCATAAAATATGGGGATAACGAACGTTAATCAAATTGGAAGTCCATTTAAACATTCAAACAGAGCAAACACGGACAATCAGACATCCAAAAACATCGACCAGAGAGGCGGGATCAGGAGCCATGGAGAAGGCGACATGCGAAATGATAACTTTAAACGAAACTGCTGATACTCTTGTTTCATCAACACTGAAAAAATGACTGGTCAAAGTCACCAAGAAGACTAATAAATTTTATTAGATAAAATTATAGTAAATCTAGAATTTGTAAGTAACTTTCACGAGGTATCGTTTTAAAAATTGCTCGTGTGTAGAGCATACTCTTGGGTATCGACTATATCAACTGGGAGACAAACCCCATATGCAGGTGGTGAGAGTATATTGCTACATGAGTAAGGAAAGTTGTTAGAAAAGATTTGACGTTTATCATACAGTATTGTTATTAGGTTACCACTAATGTCTTTTTATAGTAAAATGTCCAAATATGAGACACTTGTGTCAGACTTTGTAATGTCACTGTCTTATTTCATATCGAATCGACATATGAATTGAAACTTTTGTTCACTTTTGTTCAATTGAAGTCACAACAGGTGTTTTCTTCTTCTGGAACTAAGACCAAAGACTTTAGTAGATTGTAGAATTAAATTTTGGTCTTAGTCCTTATTTCTTTTGTAAGACCAAAAATTTTAGTAGATTTTAAAAATTTGCGAATTGAAGTCACAAAAAATGATTAAAACCATTTTCAATGAAATGTAAATTATAAAGTTATTAGTTTTCTTCTAATTTCTTTTGGACCAAAAACTTAAGTGGACTAAGACCAAAAACTTTAGTAGATTGTAAAATTTTGCAGAATAAATTTTGATCCTGTTTGAAATTTTGCTATTGTTTGAAATTGCTAAAAATACCTTTATACATTCCCGTAAAAAAGATAAAAATTTTCAACAGAATTAAATTTAAACCATTAAGTGAATTCAATTTTTGCAAAAATGTAAATTATAAAGTTATTAGCCATTTTCAATTAAACGTAAATATGAAATAATAAAGTTATTAGTGGATAGTAAATTTTGGTCTTAGTCGTAAGTTATTTTGTAAAACGGCCCCTAGTATCTCCAAAAACTACATACACTGTAGGTATACGTATTGTCAATCAGAAACTCGAGAATCTTTTTAATTTCAATTTCAGAGTACTTTTGCGTACAAACAATCAGAAAATAATTAAGATTATTTAAAGTACATTACTAAGACAGTTATATGATTTTACTATAGCAGTCATGTACAAGCAATGCACTGTATTTGTAAACTCTTATGGTTTTGCTTGTAGTTACCATTACCTTGTAATTGTACAGGTAAACTGAATGATTTTGTATAAATTTGATGAATTGTATTTCTGTAATGTATATTTTTGCTTGCAGTACTGAAGACAGAAATTTTGATATGTTTGGAGATTTGATAAAGTTCATTTGTAGAAAATGAACAACTTTTTTCTATTTGTTGCCTGTTATAATTTAATTTCCAAATTAAAAAAAAATCTCTACTAATTTGTAAAACTTATATGTCCAGTCCTAATAACGTATGAGAACTTCTTCTTTTTAAAAAATTTTTTTTTTTTTCCCCCTTATACCCCCTTTCTTAAATTGCCTTCTATGGACTTGATAGAAGAATGATGCATCTTTGGAAATATAAGTTCAGGAACTGGAGCCTCTTCCTGAAATTCTGAAATCTATCTTTTTTTCAAGTCCTGTGATATACTGAATGTCAGAGATCATTTAATGTTGACAAGCAAACATTCAAAAACTCGCTTTTAATGAAGGTTTAAATAATATCTGATATTGCATTTAGGCATTAAAAGTATCATCAAATAATGGATGAAAGTTCTGATGTCTCTATTCTCATGTATTATGATCATTTTTATGGCCTTCTTTTCAAAGTACTATACTCATTTTAAAATATGACTGTTATTGACAACATCAGGAAATTCCTGTTCTTAAAACCCATTAAAAAAGATACTGATTCTAAAAAACGCAATTCTTTGATCTAGAAATATAATAATGGTGTTGTTTGTTCAAACACTTAGTAGATACTGTTGATTGCATTGTGATAGGAATTGCTACATTGTGTTTTACCCATATATAACCATGTCGAGTATAATAATTGTAGATTAAAAGTTTTTGACACATTTAGGTTGAATCAATATTGACCAATTCAACAGAAAAATATACTCTCAATTGCAAGAAAAGTACTGCTGAAACATTAAAAATAAAACGAAAGATGATAAGGTATGCGATTTTCCTGTGTTCTTCTTCAGATTTTCCCCATACACTCTATTCATACATAATATGTAAATATAATATAAATATTATCTTCCTACTGAGACTAACCCTATACCAATGGGGCCACAATTAAAAATAAATATTCCTCACTACATTGGGAGTTCTACTATAAATAAGACTATGTGGATATGGCCTTACTGTTCTTGAGAAGTTGATTTAAAAAAAAAAATGTCCACGTATAATTCAAATGTGAACCCAGATTAAGGCTATGATCTATACAAAGTCGAATCTGTTCCACACGAGGTTTCTTATTTTAAAAGGAATTAAAATTTGAAACTCTGCTGGTCCTAAGCAAAATATAATCCTAAAGTCCATAGTTAAAGCTTTTCAAATTCTCCAAATCCTCATGTTTTTTTTTAAATTCTCATAAATTGTTGTACTAGTATTTGCTCCACTGTAAAATTCTCCACCATCTCTGTCCTGGCTCTTTTCAAATCCTCTGGTTCTCTAACTTCACTACCGCTGAATCTACATCACACGAAGATGCTTGGATACAAAAACCTTGCTGTTCTTCTTTTGAGGCATACACCGACCTTACTTAATTAACTTGGATCGAATCTACACTGATCAAGAAAGCTTTGATATATATGTCTTTTTTTCTTATATTTTTAACATACATTTTTCGTTTTTCTGAATTGTAATGGGCATCTCCTTTTCAATTTCTTTTACCCAACGATGCTTATGGCAAGTTTGGTTAAAACTAAATCAACAGTTCATAAAAAGAAGCGTTAACGAAGAGTTAACAACATAATACCATGGAAGACAGACTTACAGACAGACAGACACAACAGACATGAAAGCTAATCTAAGAGCTTCGACGAGCTTTGATGCTTATGGCAACTTTGGTTAAAACTTAATCAACAGTTCATAAAAAGAAGATTAACGAAGAGTTAACGACATAATACCATGGAGGACAGACTTACAAACAGACAGATAGACAGACACAACATACATGAAAGCTAATCTAAGAGCCCCGATGAGCTTTCTTTTTTTATCTTTCTATTTTTCAGCTTCGATGATCTACGTAAAAAGAGGTATGTTATACACATTTTAAATAAAGTATTTAATGGACGAAGATTGTTGGTGATATAATGACTAAAACTTTTTTTTTTTTTTTTTTTTTAAATTTTGCTTATTCTTTTAATAATGAAGAGATTCTATCGCAGCTTATCGCGATTTTGTTTTAATCAGATTGGTGCGCAAACAATAATAAAATTTTAATCAGGTCTGTTATATAGACCAGAGACATATACAGACGTAGCATATTTGTCTTGAGGTCGAGGTCAATGCATGACATTCTATGGCGAAATCATATACAAAAAAAAAAAAAAATTCAATGCACCTTTGCACATTCTAAAAATGCATTGAAATGCACCGGATATTGAATTTTAACATAACGCAGCTACAAGAGAAAGAGCTAGTCAAATATCATCAGCAAAAATATTAGGTTAATGCATCCATTAAGTCTATTCTTTTAAAAATCCAATTAACTCATTATCTTACTGTCCTTTGTAAATAATGATTTGAGAATAATGATTTCAAGAACAAACCCAACAAACATGGTTCTTGGATTCAGAAACCCTTTAGTTCTTTGATCTGAATATTCTTCCTGCATACACAATTATCTATAAGTTGATATTAAAAAGTGGTTTGATTTTCTAACAATTTGTCGGAATTCCAATGGGAAAAACTACTGATTGCGCTACTTTATTAGCAAACTTAGTTTTGTATTCACATCCAGCAGGATTTCTTAAAAAAAACTTCTACATGAAAAGAAGTAGGTTTATTACTGTGATCTTTAATTTAACATTTACAAGATATATCGACGACGTTAACATTATTCATTTTCATTCTTTCGTTGTATCTCTTTGAACTCAAAATAAAAAAAATACAACAGAGTCCGACATATCTGTTGTTTTACTAAAAAGGCATTAATGGTGACTCAAAATGTGATGACTTCATTTTTTATGGCTAACTTCTCTGATCCATGTAGTAATATACCAATATCACATGCATGTAGAATTTATGCCTCTCACTAAAGCGACAGAAGCTATTAACAAATAAGCTGATAATACATAGAAAATCTCGTTTAAAGTCAACATGTTGCAAATTCTATGGTCGATACACTGCTTTCGTAAAAAAACAACAACAACAAACAAACAGCCTATTTCATGTACATAAATTGGAATGTAAATAAAAGTAATGTGTAATGATTGAATTGGTTTAAGACGCGATGATGTAATTTCGACAACGTAGTATCAATTAACAATAATTATTTCCATTCAATTGCTGACACGATATATCCCTTTGTGCTTGAAATTAAAGATACCACAGAGTCTGACACGTTTCCATACTTGGATATTTTACCAGAAAAATACATACCGGTTAATTGTAACTTTACAACCGAGCTTAATAATAAACGTGAAGACTAACTTTTCAATCATTTATTCGGCAACCCTTATCACTCAGTTGATTCGATATCAAATAGCATGCTCTATATACGAACAGTTTCTAAAGCGTGGTAAATTATAAACGGAAAGTTCATGAAACAAGAATATCAACATTCTCGTTTAAATCATCATTTCGTAAGTTCTATGGTCGATTCAATGACCTTGTCAACAAATACAATCCATCATTAAGACAAATGCTGATAGAGGTTTATCATACTAATTGTTCGGTCATTATTTGAACACTGAATTGTCGACACATTTCTCCGTTATTTCCCGATCACGACAAGGAGCACACGGCGGATGTGAGCAGTCCGCAGGGGATGCTCACTCCTCCATGGCACCTGATCCCACCTCTGATGTTCCAGAGGTCCGTGCTTGCGCTGATCCTAATTTGTATTGTTTGAATGTACTTTTGACCTAAATACTTTTTGTTATCTTCATATATTTCATTTTAAAGTTGGATTTCACGAAGTGAAAAATAAATTTAACTTTTTACAACGAGTTAAATGTGAAAATAACAAATAGATATCAAAGTTAAAAACAATACAAATCAATATCAGAACTAGAACAAACACAGACCTCTGAAACCTTAGAGATGGGATCAGGTGCCATGGAAGAGTGAACATCCCCCGCCGACCGGTCACACCCGCCGTGTGTTCCTTGTCATGATCAGGAAATAAAAATCCGTTTGCAATTCAGTGTGAAATAATGACCTAACAATCAGTATGAAAAAAACATCAGACAGCATTTGTCTTAATGATAGATTGTTTTTGCCGACATTTGTCGACCATAGAACTTACAAAATGATGAGAAAATAGTCAAAATACCTAAAAATGTCTCGCAGTTTTCGAAGTTAATTCCGTCTTTGGAGTCTGGTTAAACTGTTAAGAATTAAACCTTCTCTTTAGATTTGCACACTTTATTTTCTATTTCTTGTTTATTTTGAATATACACTTATTAGAAGTTGAGGAATACTCTCTGTAATTAGAAATTTTGCTTGCTTTATTGCATATTCCTTGCAGAAAGAAAAAGAAATCAGATCTTTCTAGAGTTTTTTTTTTCGTAAACAGTACATGTATTTACAATATAAACTTTTACAGCGTTAAGTTAGAAAAATTGACCAGAAGTAGAATGAAGTGTCACAGATAAGGATGAGACTGCTAACTACGAACAGAGATCTATCAACAGCATGTCCGATGTCCTTCCATCCCAGATCTAGGTAGGGTTCGGCTTGCGATTGTTGTATAACTTCACTATCGTCGTCTTCATATGGAAATACTTCATTAATTTTGGGAATATTTGGTATTTCGAATTCCTGGACGCTTTTGAACTTCAAGCACATCAGCTTACCAGCATAATAGGCACACATTTTCCAATGAGTGGGGACTGGTTTTGCTTTATCGTCATTGTCATACAGACTTAGACTTGCTATCGTAAAGAAAACTATAAATGAGCTCATTGTCATTTGTATCGTAATGTATATGTTCAAAAGACAAACTGGATCCCCTATTGGTGGAAGTTCATCCGCCATGGCATTCATAAACACTACAAAAGTCAACAGAAGTGTTATGGCGTACGAAATTCTTTCACCCGACTGATGGGGCAAAAGAAAGACAAGGACGTTCAAAGCACTTAAGAATATGATTGGCAGGAGAACATTTATCATCAGAAATTCTGGTTTGCGACGAAAATGAATATTAAAAGAGATTTCCGTGATTTTCCCATGAACAAATTTTGAGCTTACATTTGTTCCAGTGATCACCCATTGTGGATGTTCCACATAATGATCGAGCCGAATACTATCACGGAGCGATTTTAGAACAACCTTTTCCTCGTAATGTGAATTTATGATCTGAATCTCGCATGAATGTTTGTCCATGGGATAATAGAAAATATCTGGTTCACAAAGTGTTAAAATACTTCCCGTTATTACATAGTTGACTGTACCGTTGAAGAAATGCTGTGTTTTATGAACTGAAGTGGATTCAGTTGTTAATTCAAACCCCTCTGCAGGATTATGTAGAATCATGGTCGGAGTCCATACCTTGTCTTTGGACAGTTGGAACATCATCATGTCTTCGTCTAAGGCGTCCCACTGAATAAACTCATCTTTCCACACCAAATTCAACGCAATGGACGATTTTAGCGTACCTGTTTTCACATTGAAATCCTGAATGGAATTTAACATTAGATCTGTGTAGACAAACATGGTATTCTTCTGATTTTTGAGCGGCCTTAGACATTTTGTGTAGTTTTCCAAGACTGAATCTTGAATATCTTTCAGCACTTGGTACGTGTGACAGGAACAAGCCACCAAGAAGTAAAACATTAGAAATAGCCAAACCGCCATCATGAAAATTCTGAAAAATTATGACGATGGCCAAAAAATACATGCATCATAATTTATTTTTGAATTGTCTCACGGGTATTTTTTTTTATAGAAAATTATGCAATGTAATTAAGTCGGTAACCAGGATCCTTAACTAATGGAAATTCCTCATGCGAAACAAAGCCATTCTTCAGCAAAATGTCTTTCTCGTGTATAAAATACAATTAAGGTGGTGTACATCTTGTACTATTTTGGATTAATAAAACATTATCTTCAATCAATGCTTCCTTCAGAATAGGTCTTAATGATATGAGTATCTAAGTGCTCTATTTATTCCTCAAAGCCTGTATTTCTGATGCAATGGAAAATCCAATTATTTGAAGATATTTCTCCTAACATTATATCGATGATTCGTTTACTGCAATGAAATTAATTTCTGTAGTAATTGTTATTAATTCAAGATTTATTGGACTTCGAAAACCTATTATTTGACCGAATAAATAAAAAGTATAGTCATATAAGATACTTTTTTGTACATTGATACTAAACAAACACGTATCATTTTATACTGAACCGTTTTAGGGTTATATCTTGCTTGAAAAATTTTCTCAAATTGTAATTAATTTCTCTTAATCATTCTTTTGTAATTATTTAAAAAGCTTAGAATTATTATTAAAATTCGCTTGATCTGGTAAATATAATTCTATAACCGGAGCAAGTTAGTAACAAATCTCTCATTCCTCGCTGTCTCATCTACTTTCACTGAAAGGCCATCTTTACAAAATTCTTTAGTTGCCCTCTCCCGACCAACTCACTGAAATGACCCGACTCAAAACTTTATTTTTACATTCCAGAAAACATTCCCCCCTTTTTATTCCTCTCATAAATTCAACAAATATTCTTTAATTTCCTGGGAAAGAAACATTTGCCACCTACCTTTCGACCCAATAATTTTACCCTGAGTCGGGAGAAGGCAAGCAAATATTCTTTTAAATATTACCTAAAGAAATGTAGGTTGCCATTATTTGAAAGTGCTTGATCCTTTTTTGAGCTGTGCTTACAGTACATCAACTTTTTCCCGCTGAATAAAATTTAAGGGATTCTTTTGCCGTTGTTATATACCTTTAATTTTACTTTTTAACCTGACACATATTTCGGGTTTCCTAAATTAAACGTGGGCATTGTCATTCTTTGAATAGTTTTGGAGATACCTATCTCATATCCACAATAATCTACTGAAACTTTCATATCATCTTTTCACATAATGCCATTCTGAGCACCTAAGTTATGTTTAGCTCTGAGAAATATTTCGGGTTTCCAGTAGGAATTCCTTGGACACTGCCATTCCTTCCCATCTCTTATCCACAACTTATTCCAAATCACGGAATGAAATTTAATGGTACTTTCAAATACTATTTACTAGTATCTTTTTAAGGCCTGAAATGAACAAAAATAAAATGTTTTATTTATATAGAAATTATAAATTGCTGCTTTTGTTTTCTTCGATCACTGGTCGATGCAGCGACAAATTTACACTTAAACTGCGTTAAAATGAGAAAACTTCAGTTTTAAATAAACTCTCCTCTGAGCTATTTTTGGGCAATTTTGGCCAAATGACACAAGACAGAATTAATTTTAATTTCATTTATTATAAAATAACAACACATACTAGTACTACAAATTAAATAAATTAAAAAAAAAAAGGCCAAGCAAACAACAACATCAACATGAACGGAGAATATAGAATAGTAAAATAGATGACATCAAAATTCCCTCTACATTTTAAAAATCTCCGGGGACTACTCAGTACTAGTAACAAACATAATCTACTAGTATTACTTGGAATTTTTTTTCTATATACATGTGGAATCATTCAGCAAAATTTGAAAAACCACGCAACTTCACTAAGAACAACATTATGAATACGTGCATGTCTATATGTTTATAAATATGAAAAAATGATGTCTTGAGAACATGATGAACAATTGCTCTACGTATGAACAATTTCTAAAACAAGGTTAGTTGATAAAACAAAATTTTACATCAAAAGTTTCGTTTAAACCATCAGTTTGTAAATTCTATAGTCTATATTCGATAAAATAACCTTGTCAACAAATACAATTAATCATTAAGTCAGATGCTGACTGATGTTTTTCATAATACCTGGTAATTGTTTATACCCATCTTTTACACACTGAATTTACTATAGTAAATCACAAATGTTGACTGACCTCTTCCACATTGTATGGCTTTGCTCTTTGTATATTCATGAATTTCAGTGGTAAAATTTGTTGAATCGTATGGTTTAGATACTGGTATCAATTATTGATTTGAGATGAAAATTTTTGCTTTATTTGATTCTTTATTTCTGTCCATTTTACAGGGACCCCTAAGTCCACCCGTTCTTTGTCTAGCCTTATGATGTTTTCATTTTTTCAAAGTTAACATCATGCACTGCAGATACACTTGCTTTTAAACATATAAGACACGGTGCGCATTTTCTTATTATTTTCTTGGGTTAAGAAGCTTTTCTCTGCATTACATTCGGTACTGGTTTTTGTTAAATAGATTTCATGATTTTTTTTTACTTGTAGTCAGTAAGTAAAGAACTATTTTAAGGTTAATTTTTTTCTCACAAAAACAGGGATGCAAGATAGTAAAACTACAAAAATTAAATCATTTAACTATGGATGGCCAGCAAATGAAAATAACGTAGGAAAGCCAGTTTCCAATAATCAAAAGCAAGAACATTCTTAGACATGCCTTATTTGTCATGTTACTAATATATTCCCAGGTAATCCAGTCTGGAGTTTTCGCTTTCTCTTTTCCCGTACTGTTCTCATGATCTCCCTCACCACTGATTGATTTCCCACACCTTCCCAGGGTCTGATTTTCCATTTCACATCCCTCCGATCCAACTGCGTTTTTCTTGATCTTTCTGATAGCAATTCTCATTAATAAATTTTTCAATGCATTGGGAACAGGATCATTCTTCACCGTTTTGTCGGAAATGATAATTGTCAAAATTGTAAAGATTAGAATAAAAATGCTATTTCCGATCTGAATCATTATTGAGATGTTCAGCATGCTTATTGGATCACTACTGCGAGGCAAACTGTCAGCGACCAAATTCAGAAAGAAAACCATTGTCAGCAAATTGGTGACCGCTAGTGAAACTCTCTCACCAGAAGATTCTGGTAGTACAAAAACTAGAGGATTAGTCAGACCTAAAGCTATGATAGGAATCAAAATATTCAAAATGAGAAATTCTGGCTTCCTCTTAAAACGTACTGTAAAAATAACACGATTGTGATCAAATACCGCGGAAAACTTGTGGGTCGTATTTTCCTTTAAAATGTCTATAATTGTCCACTCTTTGCTATTGGTTGGCAAAAAATAAAAGTCAAACTCAATGCTTTTCAGAACCATGTGTTCTTTGTCAAGCGGGCTCAAAATATCCAAAGTGCAGTCATGTTGATCAAAGGGGTAATAGAAAATATCAGCGTAACATTTTGTGATTGCAAGCCCATTAACAGTGTATAGCACTTTGCCATTGGAGGCTAATATAATGCTCTCCTCGATTTGATTACCAGTGTCAATGCCGAGAACCTCTGTTGCTGAATTCAACAGAACAATTTGAGGAGTCCAAGTTGAATCCCTGGGCAAATACATATAATAAACTCCATTTTGTGAAGAATTCCATCTCAATATTTCATCCATCCACGTAAATCCTATTGTAAGTGTTGTTGCTAAGATTCCATTTTTTTCATCAAATGATTGCAGGGTGTTAATCCTGATGTCGATATACACATAAATAGGTTTTCTTTGGTTCAACACAGGTCTGGTAGACTTAGAATAATTTTTAAATAATTCTTGTTTGAAGTTATTGAAATCCTGATAAGAGAATGCCGAGGAATGCTGAAAACACGTAAGAAGAAAGCAATAGATAATTAAGAATTTCATTTTTTCAAAATGAAAACTAACCTTCTCACATTGTGCACAGTCTTATCAGTATTAGTAGAGTACCACCTAATGGGGCTATTTAAATGACTAAAACAAGTATCTGACATCAATAAGTGTCGTTGATGTAAATCGATGTTTAATTAATTGCATTAAAACTAAAAATTAATAGGCAATTATTTATTTGAAGTCATCAAGTTTTGAAGGGATGTACTTTAAGCAGTATTCTTTATCAGAGATCTTGCACATAGACAAGGGAAATTTCGTATTTTTCAATTTTAATTTCATACGTTTGTACATGATCCCAATAAATTTTGACTCTATATTGCATACATCAGCTATATTTTGTTATTTTCTGAATGAAACTAAACAATTAAAATGAAACTTGAGATCATTTTTTACACTAATGAAAGTAAATGGAAATAAAATTAATTATCGTAACAATTCTAGAAAACGTTAGAACAAGACAGACAACGCAGAATTTATTTAATTTCATTAATTATAAAATGACAACACATAAACTAGTAATACAAATTATATATACAAAGTAAAAAAAGGCAAAGCAAACAACATCAACGTGGAATATAGAATAGTAAAAAGAGATGACCTCAAAATTCCCTCTTCATTTTAAATTTTTCCAGGAACTACCAGCAACAAAATAATCTACTTGTATTACTTAGACTTTTTTTCCAAATACATGTGGAATATTCATCAAAATGTTGAAAACACCATGCAAGTTGACTAAGAACAACATTATGAATACGTGCATGTTTGTACAGCCCAACGCACTTTTTAAGCTCACATGTTTTTTAACACAAATTAAGGTCACATTCCTCTAGTACTACTAAAATCAACATTATTAAACTTCAGTTAGGCGACATAACTCTGAATTGTATTATATATTATTTTAGAGATAAATGTCCTTAAACATATATATTTTTAAGTTTTTAACGTACCTGTTTTAAAGGGTAATGTATCAGTAAATGATAATGATGTAACAACTATATGAATCTGCCATAGGTATCTACAAGTTGAATAAAACGAGCCTTCTTTAAAACTATTTAATTGATTTTTTTAATTAGCTTCTTAAAGGTTAGTATTTTTCTAAATACTTTGTACATTTACCATACTCGTCTTGGTTTTGTCAAAATGTATACCGGCATTATGTTTATCTCTTTAAGTAGCAAATTCTTTCTGTTGAAAGGAAAATTATTTTAAATTTTCGGTTTGATACTATGTAATTTTGAAGTGGGATGTATCTTTCATGTTTGTAGATTGTAGAAAGTAACTCTGAAAAATGTCTGTTTTTTTAACATAGAAAGCAGTCAAACAGATGAAAATACTAACATCATCGTGCGCTATAGAGTCAGAATGTACAGAAAAATACAAGTAACAGGAACAATATTGTGCCTATGCCTAATTTTCTGCAAATACTACTGCTTTCAAAAGAAAGGATAACACGACGGCTGCAATTGGAAAGAAACCATAAAAAATCATTTGCAAATACTTGTTATTTATCAACTTAGAGTATATAAAAGTCCGGTTAGATATGCAGTGTGAATTATATTTTTAATAAGTGAAATAACATTTAAATAATTTAAACAATCACCTTTAAAATATATTTTGTTGCCTCTATACACAATATTGCGTTATAAAAATGTGACCATAATTTGTGTGAAAATCCATGTGAGCCTAAAAAGCGCGCTGAGCTGTATATTTATTAAAATGAAATAATGATGTCTTGAGAACATGATGAAGAAGTGCTCTACGTATGAACAATTTCTAAAACAAGGTAAGTTGATAAAACAAAATTTTACATCAAAACTTTCGTTTAAACCACTCTTTTGTAAATTCTATAGTCGATACAATGACCTTGGCAACAAATACAATTAATTGCTGATCATTTAGTCATATGCTGCCTGATGTTTTCATAATACCTGGTTATTGTTTACCATCATTTACACACTGAATTTACTATAGTAAATCACAAATGTTGGCTGACCTCTACCACATTGTATGGCTTTGCTCTTTGTATATTCATGAATTTCAGTGGTAAAATTTAGGAATTTCATTTTTTTTCAAAATGAAAACCAACCTTCTCACATTGTGCACAGTCTTATCAGTATTAGTACAGTATCACCTAATGGGGCTTTTGAAATGACTAAACAAGTATTTGACATCAGTAAGTGTTGTTGATGTAAATCGATGTTTGGTCAATTGCATTAACACTAAAAATTAATAGCCACAGTTTAAAATCGCCTAACAACAGCTGATAACTATAACATACTATAGGTGGCTAACAATATAAAATTTGTAGAAAGCCCTTTGACAATGTTAGAAAACGCCTTCAGATATTCCTAATTTGTCATGTTTCTCAGATAATCCCAGGAAACCTATTCCGATTGTTCATTCTATCTTCTTCAGCACTTACCACTTGATGTTCCTTGGCTCATAAACATATAAAACTACCTCAGTCTGTTTTTTTTCGACTGAGATTCTCTTAATCTTTCTTTCAAAATGCGTCATTTCATTTTGCACTGCTTCTAGAATCCGTTTGTTCCTTGCTGCATTACCATAAATCAATGTAATAGTCAAATTGACAAATATTTCAATAACAATATTTATACAATTATCTATTTGTATCAAAATTCATAAATGAAATGTTTAACATGCTTATTGGATTCCTAATGTGTCAAAGTGAAGCAAACTGTCAGCGATCGAATTGATAAAGAATTCAAAGAGCAAGCAAATCGTGACCACAAAAGAAAGCCTCTCGAGTATTTGTGTAGAAGGAAAACAAAAATATTCACTGTTATGTTAGGAATCAAAATATTTTGAATAAGAAACACTGGCTTTCTTTTCAAACGAATGAAAACGATACAATTATAGCAGATAATGTAATGGCCATGTTGCTCTTTGAAATGCCTTTCATCATCCGTTTATTGTTTTTGTCTAATGGTTGTCCAGTGGCAACGGCAAATTGAAATTAAATCAATGACAATGAAAGTTAGAATTCTAGAAAAGATCTACCACCACACAAACAGTCCATCAATGAGAATACCTCTAGTCACGAACAACGGTCTTACAATAAACTTTTTTACGCGATGTCTCCTATGATTCATTACAACCCTATATAAATCAACATATAAGTCTACATCGAATTCGTACCAAACTTTAGTTAATTCCTTTGAAACTTTCAACTAGTGCACTGGATAGGGTCAAAGAAGTCCATTTTTACCTCTATTGGTCAGAGACCAGAAGAGTTTCTGCGATAGTAATACGTCCGGCGTCCGGTCTCCTCCGGCATATGAGTAACATAACTCCACTATGCCAACAAAGGAATTGACACGGTAAACATTAGTAATATTCTTATTTACAAAAGGGTCCAGTCTTGTAAGGTATTCCACCATATTTCAAGTTCAAGTCCAAACCATTTATTTCCTACAAATATTCATCGACTTTTGCTTCGAGAATTTTTAAATATTAGAAAACTTGAAACTTAATACTGAGCCTAGATATCGATTATCTGAAACATAACCCTCTATCGTGTTCATTCTTCTTTACCCTATAACTAAAGTCCTGCTGGACACATTACAAGTGACGTAAATATAGTTAATAATAAAAACCTTAAATCATTCATTTTGAAAGGGCCAAGATTTATAGGGAACCCTGATCTTTTAAGTGGCTTTATAAATTTCACAAATATATAGCTTCTGTTGAAGATTACGCCAGGCAATGGGCAAAACATAAAAAAGAACACCTTGACACGTCAGAATTGATTAAATGTATCAAATTCATGTTAAAGTCTCCCATTAATCGATTGAGGGACAAAAAGAAAACCGACTGTTTTTCTATGTTCATTTATTCAGAAGTAAAAAAGAAATTAGATCGATTACAGTCAGTGTGTATTGGGTCCTCATGAAAAAGCAGGTAACAACAGTGTCTTTCCTTGTACACTAAGGCTTAATATTTAAACTGTTTTTATTTTACTCCCTCTCTAAGGAGGAAAATCTTCAAAATTATATGTAAGTTTTGAATATATTTAATATTCCTTACCACCTGAATGAATTTGAATATATGTTGGATTCCAAAACTTCATAAAAATCCTTACATGTACAAAGATACATAGCGGGTTCCAATAAATGTTCTACCATTACTCTTTCTTTAATCTTCACTAAAATATTAACAGTAATAAAGCCAGAAGGAGAAACTCGGGAGTCATGTGTAACAATATGTTCGAGAAGTGGTCTTAATAAGAAGTAGATACTGTAGACGTACTTTTTTCCACGGGGTCATAATTCCGCGGAATCTCAATTTCTGTTAATCCGCGGGTAGAAAAATACGCGAATATCTTTAGGTTCTTCTTATATGCCTTACATTTATATTATATACGCTTGGACAAATTTCCGCGGAAATATGTGACCGCGTATATAGCGTAAATTAATACCACGCAGAAAAAAGTACTTCTACAGTACTTAAATATTCCAAGGAACTTTTGCAAAATTTAAAATCACAATTTATACCAAGATCAACAACTTAGAACTGAAGACTTTTCAATTTTATATACAACCATTTCCAAAATTTTTTTCGATAATTAAAGTCCAGTTTTTTGCATCACTGATAGCTGCTTTTTCAATCAAAATGGAAAAAATTGAATTTTTTCTCTTTAATTTACTCACCTTGTCATTAATATGCCCCATTTTTTATTAAAGCTATATACCAAATACATCATTTTCATTTATTCTAACACTTTGTACAAC